AGAATACCTCGAGAGCTTTCTAAAACACTATTTTATTAAATATCTTTCGAGTTAAAAGGCTTTCAAGTTACAATATTGTTAGCATTAGCATTAGTACCCAAGGTGTTCGACCGACGGCTAAAACTTTTTGAATGTTATTTAGGCCATCACCTTAACAACATTTGTCAAGGTCAAGACGATTAGAGGTTTGTTTCTCGTATTTTCATTATTTCAATTTTTACTATAAAAATGAAAATAATAATTTAAAATAATGGGGTAACATGTGCAGCTTGATTAATCCCAAAAAGTCATATAAAGGTCACGATGCATCATCGGAGCCACAAAAAAGCACACGTGCACTCCGAATCAAAATTGCACCATATGTCCAGCCGAAAATCGTTTTACTCCAGGATACCAAAAAGCATGTTTCTACCGCTGGCTAACTGAAGATGCAGCTGCCACGGTCTAGTGTCTTGCTATCTCTCCATCTTCACCTCGTCTTCCTAGAACTGTCTATTACGTGCGCGATTCACAACTAAGGGAGATTGAGGATCTCGCGCGAGGCGTGCATTTCATTATCTCTCGTTCGTCGAGGCTTAATGCCGAAGACGCACATATGTGCTTCTTGACTTTTTGGGATTAATCGAGCCGCACATGTTACCCCATTCTTTTAAATTATTATTTTCATTTTTATAGTAAAAATTGAAATAATGAAAATACTAGGAGCAATCTCCAATCGTCTTGACCTTGACAAATGTTGTCAAGGTGATAGCCCTGAACAACATTCAAAAAGTTTTAGCCGTCGGTCGAACACCTTGGGTACCAATGCTAATGCCAACAATATTGTAACTTTGAAGCCTTTTAACTCGAAAGATATTTAATGAAATAGTGTTTTGGAAAGCTCTCGAGGTATGCTATGCTCGAGATATGCTCGAGATGTCCGTCTATTGGATACCTTGGGTAATAGTCCAGGCAAATTAGACTTTTTAGAAGAAAAAATTTATATAGTTTTGATTTTTTGTAAAAAAAACTCTCAAAAGGGTTAGAAATAAAGAACTAAAAAGTTCCTTCCCTAATCGTGGATGGAACATCCCCTTTTGGACAAAAAACTACCCCTGGAGCGGTCTCATTTGGAGTTTTCCTCATTTATCTTTTAAACCATTACTCGGACGTGAAAAAATTATAGGACTAAAAAAAATTCGCAGTAAATAAAATTTTGCATAATAAAGGTTTAATACACCATAAAGCTAATTTCTATAGTATTTCCCTTAATTTCTCAATTAAGATTTAAAGTTACGGGAACTGAAGCGCGCAGAAAAAGTTGCTTTAGCACGCCTTTTCGTCGCAAATATCTCCGAAACCACTACTTTTACACAAAAAATGATAAGAATAAAATTGTAGAGCAGAATTTTTCCTACAAAATGCGTGCTCTACAATTTTTTAAAAATGTTCTTTACTGACCTTTTGTGCCATTTCCGCAACCGTGCATTCCATAATTAAAGCTCGTTTCCGCATCACTCGTGAGGTAGAATTCTCAGCACGTTTTTTAAAAAATTATGATTTTCTCTCGACGCCTTTTCACTTCAATTTTCTTTAATTTTTAATGTTGTCTTCTTCGACTAGTTTTTCTTCAATTGTTTAATTTAGACAACTTTGTCCATTGCAGTTGGAGCACATGACTGAGCAACGTAATCCAATTTTAACGCAGCTGCATCGTTTTCCACAACCCATTTTGCAATTGCAGGAAATGAGTTTGAGAATGGTAGATGGAGCTAGTGTCTCAATGGTGTAAATGGGCGATAAAATATTCTTCGTTTTTTTCCAATCTTACTGCGTTGCGTCTAAGTTTCGTCCTTGCCAAACTTGAATTTGATGATATACTCGATAGCAATGTTCTCGAGCAGCTGCAAATGTTGGTGGCAGTCTTGATAAAATAACAGCATGATTCGATTGGCTAACCAATTTATTAAAAGAGATAAATCTTTGCCGATTCAAAGATACTTCTTTTCGTGGGATTTTGTATAATGCAAGTATAATTCGCTCGCCAGCACTTGCGATTTCTTCTTTCGTTGATGATGGATTGTTAAATATAGCGACGTCTTGCAAATCTTTCCTAGTTCTCAATAAATTTATCGTTTGACCTTTCCCTTTGGCAAAGAAAGCAGAAGTTGTGTCACAGCCGCTAAATGCATGGGCAAATAGTACAGTTTCTTTACAGTTTTTCAAAATTTTTGAAGACTACATCACGAGAACTGTAATTTCTTTCCTTTATATTTTCTTGAGCTTCCTTCCAAAATCGGATGTCTTTACTTTCAGGCGCAAGGGCAATAAGGAGCACAAAAAGGTCAATATCCTGTTCGACGATAACCACATTGTTATGATGGTGAGATTTTTCAATAGCAGTTTGAATAATCATCAAATCAGCATCATCGTCAGCAACAATCGTATTAATTCCCTTGTACTTAAATTTTTGTACTAGCTGTGAAATTAATCGTTCTTTATTAGCAAAATAGCTTAAAATTTTTCTTTGTGGAGCATTAAGTGACGTATTCTCGTCAAAAGCAAATTCATCAGAAATGCGTTTTAAAAGTCTCTGTTGTCGTTCGATGCTTTTTGTACTGCAACTATTTTTAGTATAATCGTTGAACACTACAGTCACTCTTTGACCATAATGTTTACAAATAAAATTTACGTATGCTGTGTAAACATTTGTAAATGTATTCTCTTGTGGCCATACCACACGCTGAATCAAGTTACCTCCATCAACAATAAACTCACAATCAGTCAAATCGATAGGTCGTTCGGGAACGGAATCAAAAGTTTCATATAAAGACGATTTCTTAGTTTTTCGCATCAAGCCTTTTTCGTCGAATGAGGAGAGAGGAACGGAAGCAAGTTCAATCTCGAAACACATCTGCAAATCCGCTGTAGAGTGCACGGTACATACATAATCCTTTGTAGCAACTGCGTCGTGTCAACCTGAATAACATTATCTTCTTGTAATTTAACTGAATTGTTGGGAGAGGACATCGACTTTGCCATATTCTGTCGCTTTAACTTTAAAGATTTAAATGTATTACCATCTTTTATAAATTCTACTAATGATTTCTTACCGATCTCCTTTGCTTTAAAACAATCGACATTGTCATCAGCAACAAGGCCACTTGACAGCGATATTAAGTTTTCGAACGTTATAAATGAGAAGTGTTGCTTTAACCAGAATATGAATTTTTTGCAATCAGCTTCGTCCCTTTAAACTCTTGCATTGCGTAATTCGACATGCTGATTGCTGTTTTTCGTTTCAATTCTACAAAATTTCTCAATACTTTCGCACACAGGATTAGCTGCTGGTAATCCGAAAATTCATTTGTTTAACACGTTATCAGCAAAGCCTCTTCCGTGCGTGATGCCTCCGATGCTTTTCATATTCTTCATGAGCGTTTGCTCAATAATTATATCTGACCATACACCACACCAGTACTTATCGGAGTGACGAATGGTGAAGAAACCTTTTTTTGTAAATTTGTGGAACTCTTCGTCTGTAATTTTTTGTTTGAGGGAATCCATATCCTGAAGATAGAGTTGGCATGATTTTGCGTAGGGAAAATGTCCGCTTGCGTGGAAAATTGACAGCATAGCTCTTATGTAATCTAAATGGAGTTCCCAATTTCTCATTCGTTCTGCTTGAATAAAATGCATAGCTACACCAATGAGCTCATGATAGTGCAACCATAGTAAAGCTGTTTTGCCTTTTTCTCGTAATTTATTGATTCCGAAAATTGTAGATTGAGTTTGTTGATCACATTATTGTTTTCTATTGACTCAAAAGTTGGTGGATTTTCAGCAAAGTTTTCGAGAATCTGTTTTAGATGTTCTTGGTCAGAGTCATTTACGAGCATTTCTTCGAGTATTATAGTAGAAAGAGCAGAATATGTCAGAAAATGGGCTCGGATTGCCCGTGCATAAGCATGACCTGAAAACATGTAAAGTACGGATGTTGATGCGTATACTGTTGACCACAATTCGAATAGTCCACTGTTTCCCAGAATGTACTCAATAGATCCTAGGTAAGACATTAAAAGGTGAAAACCTCCTAATCTGACAACAACATTCGATAGATTTCCTGGTGATTTTGCACTCTCCGAAGCAACGATGTCCCTTGCTTTCATGTATAGCGGCTGATCGAATGTAACAATACATGTGGTCTGAGCCATTTTCTTTGTCTCCTCAATTGCATGAATTATCACACTGTATACTGTGCCGTAATTTGAAGGAACCTGGTTGAGGAAAGGTAGCGCAATAATTTTTGATTTTATGTAAGGCAGAGCCCGCGTCACCGTCTCCATGAAACCTTGCCATGCTGAAAAGTTAGATATTTTCAAAAATTTACCATACATCCAGAACATGTCTTGACTTAAAGGTATTGTTACATTTTCAAACGCAGCTTCGGAGTATACGTTTCTTAAAGTAATTGATTCTATGCCAGATTGAGGTCGCTGGAACGCGTGCATTTTTATTTGCCTACAACTATCATTTTCAAAATATTCAGTCGTGGATGTTATTTTGACGATTTGCTGATTTTTTACAGAATCGTGTGGTGTGACGCAGCGTATTCCGCCCATCGCATGGAATGTATCTTTACCGGTCATCGTGTTAATGTTAAAATCGGCGTTGTCGAAAACAAATTGAGAAAATGAAGCGCTATCGACATCAGAACATGATTTTACCGCAGAATACTCGAACTGTGAAACTTCTTTATAGCTTGAACAAAAACCCATATTGCATACTGCTTGGA